GAGAGACTTCTCAAAGTACGGGACTCTAAGTGAGCGCCGTTCGAACCAAAATACGCCAAGTGGAAACACATGGTGACACGAACAACATCGAGCATCTATCTATGATTCTCTCCTTTGGACTTCTGCATCTGCTATCCATCTACTCCAGATGACGCAAAAGAAACATATCCAAAACATAGGCCATGATTCTATTGGCCTTATAAAGATACTCTCGCCTTTGAACTTACACCTATTCTTTGCAAATACTTCATCAAACAATTTTACCAAATCAAAAGATGGATGACCTATGGAAGAGGAGAGAAGCACGAAAAGGCGGAAGAGACCCTGCATGATCTTGCGGCCGCGCTGGTCTCACAAAGCAAATTATGTGCGGTTTTGGTCTCATCAGACTACCTAGGTACCTACCCAGCTACGTTGACGTCTTTTCGTAAAGCGACACATAAATGCGGGAAACAAGTAATGGGGTTCTGGATGTTGGCTGCTGGAGATGGACAAAAGAATCATCTAAACACCGAGTTATGCTGAGCTCTGGTTTTCCACAAGTTACGACACGCAAGAGTTACCTGTCCTCTACCGCATGGTCTTTAGCCGATCTTCCGGCCTGGAAATCTACTATATAAAGGCTGCAGACTTTGATACCTTTCACTCATCAGTATCTTTCGCCTGATACCTCTTTCTAAAATCGGACATTAAAGCAATGCATGTTCTGGCTGTCTTACGAAAGCGATATCAGCCTTGTGTATGTTCCTGTCGAGACTTAGTTCCATCAAACGCGTGGTAGATCAGAGCCATACCGCCTCACTCATGGTTTCGACTCAGCACAGTACAACGATACCAGTCTACGTTGTGCAATTACTCCAAAACAGTGGGATCCGCTTCTCATGAGTTTGAGAATTCGCTGCGGGCGTTACTATAAAGTTGTCGATTCTGTTTCTCGACCTACTCTCCATCTTACTCCTCTCTTCCGGAAGTCTACAAAACAGATCATACCACACTACATGGCCTTTCCTCCGACCTCAAAAAGAAAACAATGGAAACTATGACTGAGTGGTTGGGGAAACTATCAGTATCAGTATGTGCAGACTATCCGATTATCCCGATCCTAATCCAAAAGTTTGAGCCGCTCAACCCATGTTTTGGCCAGCCGATTGCGAACCGAAAATGATATTTCGAGGATTGCCTGAGCTTTATCAGCCACTCGTCTCCATCTACAGATCCACTAGTAGACTGTTGGATCTATAAAACCTCTCCTCTGCGCACTTCTCAACATCCAGCACCATACTCCTATGTCCAACCTAAAAACGCTAAAAAGCGAAGTAAACAACAAATGAGATTGTTTCTGCTTCGCCAGTCCTCCTCAAAAGAACAGATAGACCAGACATGGCGTTCGGTTGAAAGAGAGCCCCTGTCGGGTTAAACTCTACATCAACCAAGACATGTTCCACTGTGAGAGCAGTTGCGAAAACAATATTGGCATCAACACATGTTGTTGGGCATCTGAAAATCGAGGTTATTCAACGCATGTGCGAGGTGGCTACCAGGAACACAAACACGCGCTTACTATGTTGTTGATGTGGATAGCCCTGGTCTCTAACGTATAAATATCTGTTCTCCTACATGAACAACTTCTTTTCTAACATATTAAATTGAACGTTCCACTCAAAACTGAAGGAGAGAATGGGCATGGCGTGGGCTGGGGCACAAGAGACTATAATGAAAGAGCCATGGACTGGGTGTGAACGCTACCGGCTACGAAAATTCTCACGAAGAGAACACTATGTCGCGCAGACGACAGGAACCGATGTGTATGCCTAAGCAGAGAGGGTATTCTTGAAAGACGTGAGAGCGTAAAAAGTAGATTCCATCACCAAAACAAGACACCTCCAGTGTCCATGGCGGCTCGGCCGACTGAAGGACATCATCATAGCTTCGATCACTCAAACTAGATCCTACCCAACCCACGCCATCTAAACCCCAAACTTCCTCGGATCCAAACTCCCAATCTGCGCACTCTTCCCCTCCCCCTCAAACACAAACTCACTCAATAGCTTCCCCGTCGCAGGCCCATTCTGAATCCCCCAACAAGTATGCCCGGCCCCCATCAGCAAGCCCTTCACGCTCGTCTTGCCAATAAGCGGTCCACTCCCCCTATTAACATTAGGCAAATAACACGCTTGTCTCGCCGTAACCTCTCCATCCCTCAGCTCCTCAGAAATAGCAGAGACCTGATCGAAAATCTCCTGACACTTACTCTCATCACATTGCACGAGATCTGTAGATGTGGGTAAGGGAACGAGGTGGTCTCCCTCGCCGCAGGCGTAGACTTCTTGGTTGGGCCGGGCGTAGATTTCTGGTGTTACGGTTTCACCGCGTTTGTTGTTGCCGCGGGGCATGTCTATTGAGGTGAAGAGGGCGTAGGCGGAGACGGGGCGCGAGGGGCGGATGGTGACGCTGTGAGCGCGTAGGGCGGAGATGGGTGATGGCTTCCAGACTGTTTTTGTCCAGGGGCCTGCTGTGAGGATGACGGTGTCGGCGGGGAGCTTGTGTTCTTCGCCTGAGTCTTTGCTCTTGTAGGAGACGGATTTAACGGCGCCGGCTTCTTGTTTGATGTTCGTGGCAGAGCCGTAGACGATTTTGACACCCTTTTCTTCGGCGAGCTGCGCCATGCTTGTGGTGAAGTGGTATGGATGTACTTGCGCCGTTGTGAGTGGCGTGCCCATCTCTTCATAAGACTTGATGCCATCCGCTGCCACCCAATCGAGATCTTTCGGTACACCAGCAGCGCGAAGTAGCCCAATCGCTCTCTGAGTGCGCTTCTGCAGACTGACCGAGTCATCTTTGCTCTTGCCGTTCGCACCGTCTTTGCCACCCTTGTTCTTGGCTAGAACACCGTACGTATCGACCTGACCACAGTGCACGGCTCGGTAACCCCAACGCTCAGCGCCACCATGCTTCTCAGCTAGCTCCTGATGCAGTTTGTAACTTAACGGTACGATGCAGTTGGGGTATGCCCATAATGCGAGAAGACCACCTGCTTTCCCTGAAGCACCACCAGCAATCTTAGTAGCCTCTAAAAGCGTGATGCTGTTTCTCTCTTTGTTAAAGCTTGGGTGGTGCGACAGGAAGTATGCTGTAGTTGAGCCAATGATGCCGCCACCTGAAGTTGTTAGTAAGAAAAGTCATTGAAAATAGAAAACTTTCGGCCAGTCTTACCGATAATGACAATGTTACGCTTCTGCTGTTCGGCTGCCATGATGTTTGTTAGGCGCGAAGTTGCTCTTAGCATGAAGGTGTTGTCGGGTTGCGAGAGTGGCGTTGTTGGTGTTGCACTTTTCGGTCAGATTTAAACCGACCACTGAGGTACGTCATAGTTCACATGTGCGCGAATGTTCCCAGAATCATCCTTAGAGGTGTGCACTTGAGCTAAGACGAAGATATTATTCTGCTATCAGAGCAGAGGAAGCGTGACCTTAGTATCTATACAAGTAAGGAAAATCGTGAGACTATTAGGATGAGACTGCGTCGCTTTAAAAGTCGCCGCCCATGTCGCCCATGTCATCACCACCGCCCATATCTCCTCCACCCATATCATCATCACCGTAGTTGTTCTCGACGTAGGTGTCACCACCGTCTCCTGCCATCGCTGATCCGATGAGCCCACCTGCGAGCAGACCTCCTCCGGCTCCAAGGGCCATGCCTCCCATGCCGCCGCCTCCCGGACGCCTGCCGCCACCCATGCCACCTCCCATAGGCATACCGCCGCCCATGGGCCGACCGTAACCTCCTCCTCCATAGCCGCCTCCGTATCCTGCGTGACCGTATGCTGGCTGGCCGTAGCCATGCTGTTGTGGTGGGTAGCCGTGCGATGACGATGAATGTGATGAGCCAGTGGCCTTTCCGAGGATCTTGCCTAGCAGTCCTTTGCCCTTGCTCCCTTTGTCTTGTGTACTCGAGTCGTGATGTTGCTCTTGCGGGTACGAGCTGGTGGTCTGCTGGCCATAGCCGCCGTACTGTGGTGGTTGCGACTGGCCAGGCTGCTGGTAGTAGTCGTTCGCATGTCCGCGCGTGTCGCTCGGGTGTCCGTTGGCGCGCGCTTGTTCTTCTTCTTGCAGCCTCCTGGCAAGCGCCTCATCCTCGCTCGTGTTCGCGTATGGGTTGTTGCTGCCAAAGCCTCCCTTCTCGCTGGGGTAGCCGCCTACCGCGCCACTTGCTGGAGGTGCATATCCGGGGGGTGCGCCGGCGGGCGGGGCTTCGCCGGGGGGATAGACGGCCTCGGTTGGCTTGTCCCATTGCGACTGCTTTGTGTAGGTGTTGACGTAGAACCACTCGTTGTATTGCGGGTTCCAGACGGCCTTCCAGCCTTCGGGTACCTTTGGCGGGGGAGGGCCCTGTGATTACTGTTAGCGACGCCATGCGACACCACAGTTGCGATTGCGATGTACATACTGGTGGTGGTGCGAAGTCTGCCATGATGTGTGATCGGTGTGAAAGGGTTGAGAGTCGAATGTGTAGGTAGGTGAGTAAAGGTAAAGAGATCTAATGTAAATCACGTATAACAGGTAATGTCGCAATGTGAGCTGCGGGGTGGTGGGCTAATAACCCAGGGCATTACGTGCGCGAACGGGAGCTCCAGTTGAGTGCGCGTCATCGTGGCGAACGAATAAAGCGCCACGTGCCTGCTGAGCCACATTGCGCCACGGAATCAGTAGTTCCCTTGGAAGACATGCCGTGGTTCCGTAGATAGTGCGCAACGATTTGGTCACGGATGGTGGATATTGGACGGCGTTCTGTGAGAGTGATGTCATTGGAGATCTGGAATGCGAACAGACTTGAAGCGGGCTAGTCCCAAATTGGTATTGCTTGTGATGCCCAAACACCCTCACGCAACCATCACCTTTCAACGCCGGAATACATAGGACCTTGAAATACCGTAAGCTGTTTGTGTGATCCTCGCCTCTCTTCTCGTAGCTTCTTCATGTGCTTCTTGACTAGCCCACTTTTCACGAGTCCGTTTGTTCTACCACCATGCAGATGCCTGCGTCCTTGTACAGCTTGCCGAAGTCTTTCTGGACCATCTTCTCCATTTCTGGCAGAGTTTCCCACGTAGTACTCGCAGCCAGCCCTCCTACGGGACCACCGAAACTGGCCATGGCCGCGGAGAAATATGACGATGCCACAGCACTGGTAAAGTTGAAGGTTGCTTTGTTGAGGTTCGGCAATACGCCTTGCATCTTCAACACGGCCAGTTGCTCTATGACAGCCTTATCCTGAAGGTAGCCATTCAGATAGCGGAGAGTGATGTGTTTCAGGGTAGCCGGAAGCTGGTCTTTGAGGATATCGTAGATGATCTCAGGGTCTTGCTCGTCGTATGGGATATTCAGGACATCCACAAGAGGTACTTCCAATCTTTCGAGCTTTTCGAAGACTTTGAAGAAGACATTTTCAAGCCTCTCTTGAGAAGGAAAGAGGGTAAGCGCTTCCAGCGAGTATTTGGAGTCTGTGAACAATGCCAGGAGCTGTGGCAGAGAGAGGTCAGACCCTGTGATCTCTTCAACCTGGGCTTGACCTGGACGATAGGCGATAGTCTGTATTCGTTGACCGAGCATGATCTTGCGGAAGAGACGAGCGTTCACTCCACATTCTACAAGGACAACACTTTGGAGCTTGCTTGAAGGGAGCGCTCTAAGCGTAAAACTGTGACCACCGGCGGCAAGAGCGAGCAGGCGAATCTGCAGTAAGTTGGGCGTAATGTCGAGAAACTGTAAACTGTTTTTGACGACTGGCTCTTTCGAGTTGGTATTCGAGCCGATAATATGCAGCCCGGAAAGCTTCCGAAGTGCTGTACTGGAACGAGACAGGAAGTGATGCCTGCATATTGGTGCAACAAGTTAACACACGTCTCAAACCAACATTACGACGGACAGCCTACCAATCAAGGAGCGGAAAGGGGCTCAGTCCATCAATACGGAGGACCTCCATGTTGGGTAGCAGAGCCAGCATCAGCACAAGCTGCGCATCCTCCACACCCCGTCCCAGAAGTCGCAGAAAGTCGCCGTCCTCCTTCAGTGTTGTGTACCATACGATGCTCGCCTTCAGCGCCGATACGGAAAGCGATGTAGGCTCCGAGACTATACCGGCCTTGACTGCAGCTCCGACAAACAACTTGAATCTCGCTGCAGCTGAATCTCGCACACTCTTCTCTGTGCTTGTGAACGATGGGCCACTCTTCTCGATCTGGTCGACGTCCCTGACTTCAGTCACGCCCCGCCATGCAGCTCCTGTCGCAACCTCATACTCGGAACGCCAGCCGCGAATGTCGACGCGCTTCACCTTCGCCGCAAGGTCAGGTCGCTCGCATACCGTGCGGAGGAAGAGATGAAAGGGTGCTTTCGCCGGCGCTGTACGATTGAGGTAAGTCTTGTAGAGGGTGTCGATGGCGGAGACATTCGCCTTCTTTGACGTCAAGGCGAGTGCACGAAGAGCCGATCGAGGAAGGAGGCTGGCAATCTGGTCGAGCAGCTCGGTTGGTAGCTTCAGGAAGCTGGCGGTGCCGGTAGTCTGCGCGCTCGCCATGCTGAATGTGGGTGTTGATGTTGGCAGTGTCGTCATCAGGTATTTGTCTTACTCAGGGAAGAGCGACTGCTCGCTACCCAGAACTCGTGGTAGTGTCAGGAGCTAACTCTTCGCGAGTTGACCTCAATTACAAGCAAATAATGGATGTGTGTGCGGACGACCAGTGTCCGCCAATGGGACTTCTCGCGACAAACGCTCGTGTCGCAGTTATCACGTGGTTCTGTTGCCAGGCCGCCCGACTATACGAGCGCGATGCTACGCAAGTCTATCTTTTTCATTACGATACTGGCTCAATTCGCTGTTGACCTCAAAGACTCAAGATTGGAGTTCCAACTGTCCAATGTTCCTCGCTATCGTCTTGTTCGTTGCGTCGCCCAGGTACACGTGCCCACAGAGCCGCGCTCACCTTCACTTTTGCAGAAACTTCTACCCTTGTCTCAGACCTTCTATTGTGACGCGCTTTTCATATTTTTGCTGCCGCCTACAGCGCACAGGCTCTTGGCTTGGCGCCCACACACGGCGTATATTGAGTTTCTTCCAGCCTTGTTCTCCACCTCCCTCTTCCTCCACCACCACGCAGGTAAGTGCTCGCTCCAGACTCCCGCTTGCTCACTATCCCCGCGAGGGTAGCATTCCCTCCCTACGAACTGGATCCTCTTTAGCCTGTCAGTATCCTCCTGGTCTTTGCCCCCAGTTAACACTGCCAGCGATTTGCTTGAGCTCGTGTCTCTTGGGTACTAACGCTGGGTCCGTGACTCTCTGTTGTAGGGAGGGGCTTAGCCACACTGTCTTGCACCCGCAGTTCGACAGTGCAGCTTCCCCCGCTCATCCCGGTGTTATGGACTGGCCCCGGCGTCAATACCTCTGTGACGGCATGCTATGGACCGCATGAATCCAGAGCGTCGGGTAGAGCGCATACCACCGGGTGAGAAGAGAGCCGCAGATATGGAGTCGCCTTCGGGCTTCCTGACAGACCAAATGGTCCTGGCCTGATCCCCATGATGGCTCTGGCAGCTTAGCACGCCCAAATAGAAGTAAGCGGGGTTTGCCAGACATCATTTGTGCAGAGAGTTATCCCAGCCCTTGGTCCAACAGGTACCCACTGGGGTAGGCACACCCACTTGGGGTAGCACATCACCGAGATGGAGGACGACATACATATGAATACGTATCGACCGGCGACATCCACCGGCGATACCGACCAACGACACCCACCGGCAACATCGACAACCGACGCGGCTATGAATTCACAAGCTTCGGCTTGCTAAACTTTCTTCCCATCATTCGGCACTCATCCAAGTGGTGAGGATCGATAGGAACCTTCTTTTTTTCATTGAGTCTTCGCCCTGGTGGCGTTGCTTGAGGAAGAAAACTTTGCTTTGTGATACTGGAGAGAAGTGATCGGGGCGACATTGCAGCTTGCAGCGCATCGCACCCGCCATTATGACAAGCAATGATAGGGAGAATAGCAGGTGGGTGTTGCGCGAAGCTGAGTGTTTGATAAGAAGAGATGATGGGTAGAATGAATGAACGGTCAAGTGCCAGAACGCAGACACGAAATCAGGGCGAGGATATGGTGAAGACAGTATGCGACAGCGCGATAACGACATGCTCCTGCAATGCGTCAAGTAGCGTAGGTACGAGCTGAGGTTCCTAGTCGTGTCGTTGAGAAAGTGACATCTGAATCTCCAACATTCACAACCGTTGGACAAGACTGAGAGGCATTCTGATCGCACAAGTGAGCTGATCGTTATGCGGACGAGGTTGGTGATCTTTGACAGTCAAGAGCAGTAAGAGAGGGTAGCGAACAGTAAGTGCGAAGCAGTGCAGTTATTGGTGATGGTGTGCGTCGGGGTAAGTCGCGTTACTGCTCCACCGTACTCACACCGATCGCTCATCTCACCCGCGCTTCTACGAACGGCGAGGTAGAGGACGACGTCCATCCATGACCCTCCAGTGAGCGTCTCGGAAGAGCTAAGCCCCGAGGCTATTTTGAGAAGAGCACCGAGCTCTCGAAGTGCCTTTGAAGCGTAGTCACGTATCCGCAGTCTTTCCATAATCTTACCTGTCTAGAAGCCAACACGGCGAGGCTTCCTCTAAGATGGGCCCAAGATCCACTCTCGTATATCCCAGAGCGGTATGCCGGTACCAGTCCCACTACATCATCGTGAGCTTGCGCTTGTTGATTCCTGGTGCAACATCCAGCAGGCGTTTCGTGCACAGTAGTTCTATTGGTACATGTGTCCTACGATTGGACTCTCTCCGGTAGTCGTCGGTGTGCTTCATGTATGGCTTCGTGAACGACGTACCGGCATGGCGAGTGCCGCGCTAAAGAATATTGCGGAGCCCCACGCGCCAGCCTCGAGCAGGTTGCATTGGAATGGAATTCCACGGCCTCGATGCGCCATCCGATCCACAATTGCATTCCTGCAGGATAAGCTGACTCGGGCTTCCATTCGATCATACCAAGCGTGGTGAGGCCGTTACAAGCTCGCCAATCTTCAGGATGTCCGTACGTCATAAGTGGCCATCGTATCAAGCATAGGAGAGCCAGCCAAGAGCAACAAACTCCATGGCATGGTGTACTTGTCAGCCTCATCCAATTGTTGGGACGCGTCCCACCGTGCCGCTCGGAGGGCGATGGACCAGAAGTGGCGCCCGAGATGTTCCGGTGGCAGGCTCGCTTGTATGCATCTCAGCCATACGCCTCGGTAATGGCTACTGGAGACGGGATATCGACATCAATGTGGCATAGCGTTTAGGTAGTAAACAGCGCATTTCGGTGAGTGTGGAGATGCTTGGCAGGACTTCGGTATCTAGACTCAGCGGTCCGACAGGATTGTGTCGTGCTTGGTTTGCTTGGGCTGGATATCGGCTCCATATGTGGTCTTCGGAAGTGCGTAACACTGCGTCTTGTTAGCTTTGAAGCGCGATTTTTGGGTTCTTGTCCGTGCGAGAGTCTATGCAAGACGCGTCCTAGATGGAAGCTTGATGTAATGGCCAAACCTAACGCGTTGCTTATTGTCTGGACATCCGGAATTACGCAAGGTGCGGTGCTAGGCGTCGGCCGGGAGACTCACAGCCAGGAACAAGGAACGGCTGCGGGATATTCGGCGGGCGCGAGGCATTTTGGCAGTATTGGGAAAGTCGAGATATAAGAGTGGAGTAATCGTCCCAACTGAGTGGAGATGGAAGGTGGCTGAGTCGAGATTGCCAGGCGACTAATCGAGTGTCGCGTGACGGCAAGCCGGGAACCTGCTTGGCGCTGAACACCACCAAGGGCTTATCAGCTGGCCAATCCCCATGTCTCGGTGCCATCCACGGCCTTCGATTCCAATGCAGGGCAAACCTTCTCCAAGATGATGATCCAGGACGAAGACTACTTCATCCCGCCCAAGAGCGGCCGGTACCGCTGGTACAATGAACCCCGCCAAACCTCCATCAGGTCGATAAGAATGACTGACGACAACACTGCAATGAACGATTCGAGCCCCTTGCTGCAACTGCCGCGAGAACTGCGCGATGAGATCTGGGAGCTGGCTTTCAACTCGACGAGGCTGACGTTCGGCCTGCGATACACACCCCGCTATGGCGAGAGGTATCTCAAGCCTGCCCCACATTCCCTCGCGCTATTGCGCGTGTCCCGCCAGATACACATCGAAACACGCGACATATGGCTTCAGCGTGTTACGTTCAACTTTGAGGACCCTCAGACTATGCTAAACAGACTCTCCGAATTGCCTGAATCTACCGTGTCCAAAATCCGCCACCTTCGGCTCATCGGCTCCCCAATGATGCGATATCTCAAAGGCTTCGACGACCTCATGTACCGTCACGAATCGATCTTTCAGCTTCTCCCTGCGCTCCGACTGGACTGCTTGACCGTATTTGCAGTAGCTGCTGCTGCACCGGAGTATGACGCTATTACGAACTTGATCAACCGCGGGAACGGTTGGAAGGAGCTTCGATATGTCACTCGAAGCTCGCGCATGCTCGGCTTCAGCCCCTCCAGGAGCCACGGATCTCGCGAGACCGGTGACATATGCCGCCAGCCTCAGCCGAGGTTTTGGAACAAGAGACTGTGGAACAGGGACGGGGAGGGTTCCGGGTCAATCGTCCAGGTCTTCAGATCAACAGAGGAAAATGACTGCACGTCTGTCCTTGACCCAAACAGACGAGAGTCTTTCGAGCAGAACCCAGAAGAGCATGAACTCCAGGGATTCGGCAGGGTGGACGATGAGGACCTTACAAAGGGTGCTGGCGCCCGAAAGGCGCTGCTTGTCTTGGTGAAGCGCGGCGAAAATGTGGATGTCACCCAGAAGTCGCCTGGGTACGGAAAAGAGAGGGACATGAAGGCGAGGTTTCATAAGAGGAGTTGGAGGGTGCGAAAGAAAGTCATCGTTTGGACGCCACTTGATGCGGAGAAAGACGACGATGATGTTGGCAATGGTTGGGCGAGGCCTCAGATCCGGCGTCCACCATACGGCTTTGACGACTACTACGATATCGACGACATATGAGAAGAAGCAGATGAGTCAAGACTGGACTTCTTGGCATGGCATGAGTGCACCACTCATACCATCATTGTGCTACATTCAACATGATGCCCCTAACGTTCATATTTACCGAGAATTATCGATCGCGACTAACAACATGTCGTACATTCTGTCTTCATCATGAAGACAGCAAGGCCATCGAATTACATATCTCGTGTTATTCCTTCTCCTCCAGGACGCTATCGAGACGGCGAGGCGGAGGACTACGAACAGTACATGGCTAATGACTTTCGATGGTCATGATGGGGACAGCTTCTCCAAAACGATGCTGGGGTTGATGAAGCGAGACTTCCGACCTCGACACTGCAAGCTCGGCGCAACCACCACCACAAAAGCAATCGATCGGTGATCATCATAACGGGCTGCCGCATTTACATTTTGGACTTATAGAATAGGGTATTTCTTAGTGACATGAATGTCAATGGCGTGCTAACGGCAAAGGTA